TCTGTTGGAGATGCAGGGCCTGGATATTGGCTTGAAAGCCACAGCCATTGAGTCTAGATAAATTTTTAGGGTCTTTCTTTTCTAAATGATTGCTTATATGGATGGTTCACAACCAGGAATCAATCTTGAAGAAGCTCATCCCCTTGGACTTGTATACCTTCTTATTAGACTCCTATGAAACAAATTTGTGGTCTAAGTTGGGAAAGGGTAGATCAGATTTCGGAGGTTCTTGGTGTCATGACATTAAATTCAAGCTTTGTTTATTTCAGGAATTTAAGAGTTCATTACTTTGGATTGAAGTTAATTGTACATCATAGAAAAAACTTTTTTTTTTTTTTTTTTCTTTTTGCAAACCATTTAAATCCCTTTGGTTATTAGTGTTTTTGCGATGTGATTGTCCATGATCGGATTCAAATCAATAACCTCTAACTACAGCTGTTATTTGTGCTTACCAGAATAAGAAAGAACGAAAAAAGGTAAGGGAGGTGGGAATTTTGAAGAAAGATCCTGATGCAATCAAGGAGCAAATTCAAAAGTTGGAAATGATGAGTAAGTCGCAATCTTTATGAACTCTATTAACTTAACCGTAGATGGTTTCTGTAACGTTCTTTGTTGATTTGAGAGGCCTATTTTATTATCTTGATCATGAGCAACATCAAGGTGTTTAGACTTTGATGTTCAAATTTTATTTATGATTGTGACAGATAGTTTTATTGACAAGAGCCTTCGATTATCTATTTTCATTTTTATTTTTTGTGGAGTACAAGTCGCTTTCTCATTTCAGTTATTTAATTTATTAGTTTATTTATTTTTTAAAATCTTAGCACTATGGGGTTTTATGCAGAGGCTGATGGTGCCCTCGATAAAGCTAGAAAGCACAAGAAAAGACAGTTAGAAGATACTCTTCATCTTGTAATAAAGAAGAGGAAGGTAATTTTTGTTTCCAATAAAATCTCGGAGAAATCTCATCAATAATGCTTGTTTATCCCTAAGATTTAAGATAAAATTGGTTAGGAGAATGAAAAGCTGATCCCCTGTAATGATGATCATTTATTGAAACAAACCGGACACACACCTGTTAACTTTCTTTTAGTTTTTTCTGTTTCACCTATGGTCTTGTACTTCCACTTAATGGGGTATGTTACAACTTCTATGCGAGCTAAGCGTTCAATATATTCAACTACGTGGTCTTCCTTTAGTTTGCACATTGACAGTAAGCTTTGATCCCAGCAATCATGTTGTCATTCTCTCTTGGACAGGAATATGAAGAGAAAATGAAGGAAAAGGGTGAGGTCCCAGTTATGTTCAGGTATCAAAGGCTCTCTTGCTCATTAGTGCTATTACTCTTCGTGTAGTTAAATGCATTTTCACTTTTGGAAATATACCATGGTTTATAATCAAGCTCTGTATTCTGTCTTTTGGCCAGTCATTTAGGACCTCCAAAAAGACGAACAGAAGAGGAGGAAGAGGGAGCAAATCATCCGAATCCTGAAGTGAGCAAACTCTAATTGATTATCTGGTCATTTTTTTTTTCTTATATTGCATTTCTGGATTCTATTTGATATTTTTCTGCCACTTCAGGACTCTGTTTACTACCACCCCACACTAAATCCCACTGGAGCTCCACCACCTGGGAAGCCTCCTATGTTTAAATCTTCAATTGGTAAGTTAACTTCCTATTGAATCTTGTAGCAAAACAGAAGTCTACATAGGTGTTTTCACATTCCTATGCTCCACTGAATTTTTTTCTGAATATGAACTATAGGACCAAGAGTTCCTCAATCTGATGCTTCTACTAGTGGTGTTGCATCATCCTCAAACATGGAGCCAGAGGATGTTCCCTTGGCTGTACCTCCACCTCCCCCTCCCCCTCCCCCTCCGCCTCCTTTGCCAGACTCTGCTAATGGTCCTGCTCTACCTGATTCCTTACGTCTACCTCCTCCACCTCCATTGCCGCCTATGCCTGTAGCATCAAACTTGGGTTTACCATCGTTGCCTCCACCACCTCCTGGACCTCCACCAAGGGAACAAGTTGCAGGTCGCTCTCCCTTTTTGCTGCCTCCATCTTTGCAGCAGGCTACTATGATGCACCCTACTGGAACCAGTGAAGGTGAAAAGGAGAGAAATCAGCCTGATTCTGGCTCCATGGGGCCTTCTCATCAGGTAATTTCCCTGTTTAACTCCTTTTCTTTAGCTGACTTTTCCGGGTGAAGAAAAAGCTTTATGCATATTATACAGAAACTGAAGGAGTCTTATTAATAATTACTCTTAGCAAGCTAACATTCTTATTGGTCTCGTTCATTTAGGTACCTACTACTCTCCCGCCACCTCCTCCCCCACCTGGGATGCCACCAAAGCCAGCAAGTGATCAATCTGAAGGTGTATCAGGTGATGAGGAGAGAAATAATTCTTCAGTCACTAAAGATGTTTCTAAACTTGTTCCTCCACCTCCACCTTCAAGACCTCCGGTACCTGGGCCTTCATTGTTACCAACCTTGCAGACTGATGTATTACCCCCTGGAATATCTCGATTTCCCCCACCTCCACCTCCACCAGATATGCGGCCAACATTATCTGCACCTGGACTCCCACTTCCGCCTGGAATGATGGTCCCGTTGATGGCAAGGCCACCATTTGGGCCTCCCCTTGGACCTCCACCCATGATGAGACCACCTCTTCCTCCTGGCCCTCCTCCCACTTTTCATGAAGATGACCATATTGCACATATCCCAACTGTCCCTCAAAAGCCCTCATATGTTAAATCTGCTGCGTCTACTGTCGTTAAGCGTCCACTGGCTCAGCACACTCCAGAGCTTACAGCAATGGTAAGATGACTTAATATGCTAGTCTGGTGCAATTTGATTTTAAAATTTGCAGTCGTTGATGCTATTGCTAGGAATGTTAGGGTACACCATGCCCACCACTGATTATCACAAACCTATCCATCATTAGCAAATTTAATATAGAACATTCCAAGCTGGCAGCTGTTGTATATGGCTGGCAATCTCTCAGGGGAAGAGATACTATATGCTAAGGTTTACAAGGAAATATATGTCAAGAGGATAACTATGATTTTTAATTAGCTAGCTTTCTTTGTTTTTTTTCATAGACAACTTCACCATCCAAAGATGAAGAAACAGCCCAAAGGCCTTCGGGATGAGGAGTCTCTAAGCCTGATTTGAAGGATTGACAACAAAAGTCCTCCAATCTAAATTAATCGGATAACGCTGTGTATTATAAAATGAATTGTGTAAAGCATGCCACGTAGAAGCTGTAAACTATACATTAACAAGAAAAGAAAAGAAAAAAAGACCTCGTGGGGGACTTATCTAAAAACAAAAGCCTATTCCTTTCTATCCAAACCAACCACATTAGGGATCTGCTCGCATTGTATGCTTACCTAGCTTGAATCCTTGACCTTCAACCCGACTTAAGTAAATTTCTTATAAAACTTTACTCTGAACCTTTTGAAATTTTATTGGAAAAAGTGAGCGAGTTGGGGCCTGATCAAGGACAATTTTATGCTTTCATGCCTGATAAAGTAATGCTCCTGTAGTTCTCCTCTTCAATCAGTGTTCTACCTGAGCATGGAAGTAGGAATGATGCTGTTGCTAGGCATGTCATTTATGCAATGGACACGTTTTCCTGTATTGTTCTAGTGCAAATCTACAAGTGATCTCTAAGATAGCAGCATTATGTGGAACATATGCAGTTCTACCTAAAACCAACATGTAGCTTTGATCCATGGCCATTGGGAATTAGAAAGCTTCACTGTACAATTTATCTTAGTCTGCTCGAACTCAGAAATATATCAACTTTACTCCGACTTTCTTAACTTATATCATGCCACTTATTCAGGTTCCTGCATCAGTTAGAGTGAGAAGAGAGATTGCCGCACCAAAGACAAAACCGAAGCCTTCTCCATCAACTGCAGCAACACCGTCTCTGCCCACAGCTCCTATTGTAGGGAAGCCAGAGTTGGTTAGCTCGTCATCAGCCCCAAAGAAACAGAGTATCGACGACTCATATATGGCCTTTTTGGAGGACATGAAAGCCCTTGGCGCTCTTGATGGATGAGATGTTGAATCGGTTTACATGGGAACTGTAGTCAGCAAGTGTAATGGACAGGGAGGTGAAACAAATGGCTTGTACTTCCCAACAGCTGAGAACAATTCGGGGACGATAGATCATTGCCTTCTGTCTTCAAGGTTTGCTTTGCTGCATATACCTGCACTAGTGGAACTGCTTCATTTCTTGATAGGGGCATTTAACTTAGGCCTTATATTGTGTCATGTAGACGTTCTTATACTTCGAAAAAACTGGAAATTGTTCATCAGATTTTATCTCGAATAGATGCCAAGCTGATCTTACCCTTATTTTCTAAGGAAAACTTGGCCTTTTCTTTTTTCCTCTGAAGCTGTGCGACTGGCCATTTATTCTTGAGATTTGAAACAATCATATGAATAAGGCTATTTCGAGAAAGAAACCTTGCTCAAAGTTCAAGTTTTTTCTTTTCTCAAATCAATGATCTTCCCCAATAGAACCATCATTTGCTCATCATCACGTTCTTGGACTTTCACAAAACAACAGGCCACTAGCCTTCGTGCTCAATAAAAAATTTCTGGGTCACATCTCAAACCGTCCAGATTACCAAATTATAAAATTATTTGGATTCTTTTGTGTAATCTGAATAATAATTAACATATTTCTTCTAACATGCTGTACAGATGAGAAGATCAAGCCGTATTAGATCAATTGTTCATCGATCACACAATGTTCTTCAATCCCAAAATGAGAGAAGGAAAGTCAAACTGTGCAGTCATTTGGAACTGGAACTACTATATTATATATTTATGTCACTATCTTTTTTTTTTTTTTTTTAATTTTATTTTTAAATTTCATATGTTTATTATTGTTCAAAAAGGAAAACACAAACTGGAATCAATGTCAACTGAAAGGATGAAAACGATTCTTTTGATTTCGAATTGTTTCTCTTGACGATTTCAGCCATTCGTCACGCCTGATGTCAAACTCATCGTTGAAATTATCGATTTTCCCTAATAACAAATCCAAGTTGGTGGGTTCCTCTCGAAACTCCTGATCTTCGGGTTAAATTTGGTTCGTAAAAACACCGGTGGAACAACGGCGATGCATTTAAACCATATCCAAATTCAATTCTGAGCTGAAAACCAGTGGCTTTCTCAACAACCCTGTTCCATTAAAGTGCAGGTAAAGTCAACGACGCAGCGGTGTTCCATTGTTCGTATGAGCTCACAAGAACATGTCGAAATCTCAATGAAGCGGGCTGGAGAGAGAAGCTGGATTAAACAAAGTCCCAACTGGTAGAGAGAGAAAAAAGGGTATGAGAATTTGAAGTCGGTAATGGACACCATGTTCATAACTCCAATTCTTATGGTCTTTTTCCTTTTAGCTTGAAATGCCGACACCCCTTTTAGCCTACTTACAATAAGTTCTTCATTCAACTGTTTGCAGCTATGGGGCGTTCTATTGGGGCCATCCTTTTCCTCTGTGGCCTGCTACTGCTACTTGTTCATCCGACAGCTTCACTTCCCTTATGCTCTGATTCAAGTAAGTTCTTGTTCTCCTCTTTCACTTGCTGTAATACCCTTCTGTTTTGATGCTTCAATTTCTTGTTCATATCTTGGTGTAGCGGCGCCCTTTACTTTGAACACTACATTGAAGTTCTGCCCTTATAAGGGGAGTGTTTGCTGCAACGCTTTACAAGATGGGGCTATACAGAGACAGTTCCAATTGATGAACATTTCTGATCCTGCCTGTGCTTCCCTTATCAAATCCATTTCCTGTGCGGTACGACCTGTTCATCCCCTTTCTTTCTAAATCAACACATATTAATGATTGTTCCTTTTGTTCTTAACTGCTTGGACTTGTTTAATCATCATCTTGTATGTTTTGTTACCAATTTTGTGTTCATTCTTATCATATCTTCAGAGGTGTGATCCATTTTCCGGTGAGCTATATAAAGGCAATTCAACACTTAGACCAGTTCCTCTTCTCTGCAACTCCACTGCAGAAGGATCACCACAATCCAACCAAGCAGCTACTGATTTCTGCTCTAAAGTATGGGATACATGTCAAAACGTAACCATAGTCGACTCCCCCTTTGCCCCATCGTTACAGCGTCGAGCTGGAGTAGCTAATAACTCCAGTGCTAGCAAGCTTTCGGATTTATGGCAGTCAAAAACTGTCTTCTGCGACTCGTTTGGTGGAGCATCCACGGAAGAATCAGTCTGTTTTGTTGGTGAACCTGTGTCTCTTAACAACACTGAACTTCCTAGCCCTCCACATGGTTTGTGTCTTGAGAAGATTGGGAATGAATCTTACTTGAATATGGTGGCTCATCCCGATGGATCAAATCGTGCGTTCTTCGCTAACCAAGCGGGGAAGATTTGGTTAGCTACTATTCCGGAGAAGGGATCAGGAGGAGTGTTGGGGATTGATGAATCTAATGCATTTCTAGATTTAACTGATGAAGTTAACTTTGATACTCAATTTGGCATGATGGGACTTGCATTTCATCCAAACTTTGCACAAAATGGAAGATTCTTTGCTTCTTTCAATTGTGACAAGGTTAAATGGTCAGGGTGCTCTGGAAGATGTTCTTGTAATTCTGATGTTAATTGCGATCCTTCGAAACTACCATCTGATAGCGGATCCCAACCATGTCAGCATCAAAGCGTCGTCGCCGAGTACACCGTTAACGGCAGTGCATCCCAGCCTTCATTGGTATAAATCTCTAAACACTTCACATACTTTTGTTGTGGGATCTAAAGGAATGTCAATTCTTATATTCAGGCAACAGCTGCAAAGCCATCAGAAGTAAGAAGAATCATCACCATTGGTCTTCCATTTACTGCTCATCATGGAGGACAGATACTCTTCGGGCCGGATGGCTATCTTTACTTCATGATGGGGGACGGTGGCGGTCAAGGCGATCCTTACAATTTTTCCCAGAACAAGAAGTCATTGCTTGGGAAGATTATGAGGCTTGATATCAATAACATTCCAAGTAAGTCTTGAAGTATTCTCCAATGAATGCTAGTGTCTGTAATTCCCTTCATTGTGTTCTCATAATGGTATGTGCAGGTCCGGAAGATATTGATAAACATGATCTATGGGGAAACTATTCTATTCCTAAAGATAACCCATTTGTTGAAGATCAAGAAGCACAGCCGGAGATATGGGCTTATGGATTCAGAAATCCTTGGCGCTGCAGTTTTGATGCAGAAAGACCTTCCTACTTCATCTGTGGAGATGTTGGACAGGTTCGAATGTCGTTTTTACACGTTTATATCGAGTGGTTATAACTCGTTAAAGGATGACAATAGTAAATCTTTGGTGTAGTTTGTTTTGAATGAGCGAAAAGTTAAAAAAAAATGTCAAATTATGATGTATGTTGTGACCGTTCAAGCTGCAACTGAAATTTGAGAGCCCATGTCGGTTGGAGAGGGGAATGAAACATTTCTGATAAGGGTGTGGAAACCTCTCACTAGCAGATGTGTTTTAAAAACTATGAGGTTGATGGATTTATGTAATGGGCCAAAGCGGACAATATCTGCTAGCGGGGATTTGGACTGTTACAAATGGTATTAGACTCAAACACCGGGCGTTGTGCCACCCCAAGGGGGGTGGATTGTGAGATCCCGCGTCGGTTGGAGTGGGGAACGAAACATTCTTTATAAGGGTGTAGAAACTTCTCCCTAGCAGTGCGTTTTGAAACTGTGAGACTGACAACGATATATAACGGGCTAAAGCGGACAATATCTACTAGCGGTGGGCTTGGACTGTTACAAATGGTATCAGAGCGGCATTGTGCCAGCGAGGATGCTGGAGGCCCTAAGAAGGGTGAATTATGAGATCCCACATCAGTTGAAAAGGGGAACGAAGTATTCCTTAAAAAGGTGTGGAAACCTCTACCTAGCAGACGCGTTTTAAAACCGTGAGGTTGATGATGATACGTAATGGGCCAAAACAAAAGATATCTACTAGCGGTAGGCTTGGGCTATTACAAAATCTGTCATTTCTCCAGGAACAGATTGAGTAGTGGCATTTGAATAATCTTTAACTAGAAGAAGAGATATCGACGTCTGGGTACCCTCGATCACCCTTCCCTTTCACCTGAACTGGTCGAGAGAGATTAACCCGCACCACATACATATACATTTGAAATGTTCATAGCTTTTTATGCTGCTCTTTTTTAACAATACTTCAAATCATACCTTTTCTTTTCTTACAGGATCGATACGAAGAGGTCGACATCATCACAAAGGGCGGGAATTATGGATGGCGCGTTTACGAGGGTCCTTATTTGTTTCCTCCAAAATCATCCCCTGGAGGATCTACACCTGCAGATTCCATAAATCCAATCTTCCCAGTGATGGGCTACAACCATTCTACAATAAGCAAGAATGTAGGTTCTGCATCGATAACAGGCGGTTATTTCTATCGATCGAAGACCGATCCGTGTATGTATGGAAGGTACGTACGTACGTATGTTCATATGTTCATGAAGATTCAAACATAACCCAATCTCATTGTGTTCTTTCTGAGCCAGGTACTTGTATGCAGATTTGTATGCTTCTGGTTTATGGGCAGGAATTGAAAACCCAGAAAGCAGTGGAAACTTCACAACAAATGAGATTCCTTTCAGTTGTGCACCTGATTCTCCTATACCTTGCAGTTCCACACCAGAAACTTCTCTTCCAGCCTTGGGTTATGTCTTCTCATTTGGTGAAGACAATGACAATGACGTCTACATTCTAACCAGCAGTGGCGTTTACCGGGTCGTCCCGCCTAGTCGTTGTAAGTACACTTGCTCATTGGAAAGCTCGACACCACCGGTTGGAAGCTCTGGTCCAACGCTGTCCCCTCCGTCTCGTGCAAGTCGGTCGACAAACTCATGGAGCAGCCTGGTACTCTTACTCCTGCTGCTACTGCTTATGACTTGTTAATGATTACACGCTTGATAGATATGCAAGGGCACTGATTATTGTATGAGGTTCTGTAACATGAACTCAAATCTGAAGGCCCCTCAAAGGGAACAGCAGCCATTCACATCCTAAGAGAACCAGCTTCAAGATTTGCTCATGTATACTATGCAGTGTTGGTTTTGAATAGATGTTATGTTTATTATATGAATTATCATATCATTCACTATCGTTAATGTTATGAATCTTGTTGGTGAGCATATCACCGCTCGAACACTATTTGTGATATCCCATATTAGTTGGGAAGAAAGACGAAACATACTTTATAAGAGTGCGGAAACCTCTCCCTAACAGACACATTTTAAAAATCTTGAGGGAAAGTCTACTAGTGGTGGTTTGGGCCGTTACAAATGGTATTAGAGCTAGACATTAGGCGATATGCCAGCGAGGAGGCTGAGGCCGAAAGAGAGGTGGACATGAGAGGTGTGCCCACAAGGACGTTGGGCCCCAATGGGGGTGGATTGGAGGGTCCCACATTGATTGGAGAAGGGAACCAGTGGTAGCGAGGATGCTAGCCTCGAAAGGGGGTGGATTATAAGATTTCCCATCAATTGAGGAGGAGAACGAAACATTCTTTATAAGAGTGTGGAAACCTCTCTCTAGGAGACGTTTTTTTTAAAAACTTTGAGAGAAAACCTAAGATGGAAAGCCCGAAAAAGTCACTACATCCATTGAAAAGGGAGAGAAAAAAGTGTATCGTATCAAAATTCTATCGTTTCACAAAATTTCTAATTGATTCGAATGCTAAACGTATCCCAGAAGTTTTGGCTCAACAAAAAAAATTCAAATCAATATCTATTTCATAAGTTAATTTCCTAAAAATTCAAAACCTTCGAGATTTGAAGTTAAAATGGGTTGATTGACAAAGTTCTATATATATGTATATATATAGAACTAAATTTTTTGGCTGGAGGTTCATTTGGCGGCAAAATGAGAGGTACTGGAGGGGTGAAATTGCTCTGAAGGGAAGGGAAGTTTCTATGGAAGCAAAACGAAAAGGCAATTGGTTTCCTATGAGGATTGCAAGAGGCGATGGGGACGACGAGGAATAGGAATCGTAAACTTCCGGTCGGTTGCCTGATCGCGTTAAACCGCGCGGCACGCCGGTGATCAGGTAAACTCAAATTTAGTGAACTATTGCATTTTTTCAAATTCTAAACACGCGAGAGTTAATTGTTCTCACATTCGAGTTATTTTGAGCCTTTCCAACCACTTTTGAAAGCGTTATTTTGTTAATTTTGTCTTGATTTTAGGTCTACAATGTCGGACAACTAGAGTTGCTAGAAATAGCAATCGATTTTCATTACTGATAGAGCTCTTCGAATCAGAATCTAAGTGTTCAAAATTGGAGTTCCACATTCAGATGACCGAGGATAGTGGCGATCAGGTTCAATGGAAGCCGACATTTAGAAGCCTGAATACTCCGCATCACACACCAGAAGCAATGAACTTGAGTACCACACAAACACTTCCATTCAATGCTTTGGAGTAATGAATGTGTGCAGGGGCCCCAACAAAGACTGCAAGTTTGATGATATGCAGGTATTCTGATTTGTCCATGTGCCTTTAAATACTTATCTAAACAGACATACACTCAACATGTGAATGGATGAAAAACATAGCATATCAGATTCTTAATAGTTTATGAAAGATTAACAAAAGACCCAAAATACCTTTTTTTGCTTAGGAATTGAAAGAGAGCATAGACCAAATACAATGAACTTGGGAACTAAAATAAGATTTGTACCTAATAATTATTTAGTAATATTGAGTGTCGGTCTGAGCTGGCTCAAGTATGTATTCTCAACCAAAAGTTCATCCAAAGGACCAGAGATTCAAGTTCCAACCTCGAGAATTAAGATTTTCAACGTAAAAGTACTTTTCTTTTTCAAAAGTAACCATGATGGATTGAGATTTGAACACACTTGTAAGTGGAGGTAAGAATTATTAAGCTAATAACTTGGGAATTTTATTAACTAAGAGAATTCCATAACATTGTTAGATGGGAGCACTAGGCAGAAAGTGCTAAATTCAACTTGAAGATGAGCCTTCAGTTTGTAACTGTAGATCTGTTGTGGTTGATCCCGCTGTACTTACTTCTTGAGATTCCTTAATGATCGCTGCTTCCTTTGCCCCTTGTAGAGTTTGAACCAATTTGAGAAGACGTTTCTCAATGTCATCTTTTGGAGACTTGGGCATGAGGTTCTCTGCAACGTCAGCAGGTGTGATTTTGACATCTTCCATCAGTTCTTTGATTTGATCAAATAGCGGATGAGTTTCAAGATTCAGGTAATTTTTTGCCAGCACTAGGAATGACTCAAAACTGCAATAAGAAAGCTCAATATGTTTGTCCATCCGACCAGTTCTGATGAGGGCTGGATCAAGCTTCTCCACATAATTGGTTGTGAAAATGATTAGTCTTTCCCCTCCACAGGCTGACCATATTCCATCGATGAAGTTCAACAATCCAGAGAGAGTGACTTTGCTGCTGGTATCATCTTCTTTGTTGGAAGATTCCTTGGGGGGTTTTTCTTTCTCATCGTCCTCGGACTTCTTTTCTTTCTTCTTCCTCTGCCCCGTAAGATCGAGTGAGCAGTCGATGTCCTCAATCACTATTACGGATTTACTTGTAGTCTCAATCAAAAGCTTCCGAAGCTCTGTGTTGTTCTTTACTGCTGTGAGTTCCAAGTCATAGATATCATAGTTTAGTAGATTGGCTATTGCAGCAATCATAGTTGATTTCCCTGTCCCTGGCGGACCAAATAGTAGATACCCACGTTTCCAGGCCTTCCCAATTCGAGCATAAAAATTCTTACTGCTAGTGAAGGTCAGCAAATCATCTATAATCTCCTGCTTTTTCTCTGCTTCCATCGCTATTGTGTCAAATGTTGCAGGGTGCTCAAATACTATGTGGCTCCACATAGTGTGGTGGTAACTCCATCTTCCACCAGAACCATTCGTGTAAAGCTTCCTTTGCCTGTTACTTACTCGGATTTCTTTCCCTTCCCTCAAGACATGCTTCAAGTATGGTTCTGTAACTAAACTTCTGTGCTTCTTATGGAAAGTGAGTGAATAGTATCTCCTGTCAGGACTATACGAGTTGTCAGAATTTGTTGATGAACCTGTTCTGTTTAAAACCCACCATACTTTCACTCCTTGAAATTCGTCAGTCACCTTCTCATGATCATCCATGCTGAACACCAAGTTGGTGCTATCTTTACCTATCTCCGCTTTGAGTCTTTTGGCAGTGTTGGACGAATTCTTGCTGAGATATGATTCAATAGCAGTGAATGCTTCACTACTCTTGAGGCGTTCGCCAGCAAACTCATGGATTGATATCTGGATGTAAGGATGGAAGTAATTCATGAGTCTACTCCAGTATTTTTGAAAGAATCGAACAACTGCTCGTGGGCAGTATTGTTGAATCATAGCCCAAGCAAACATGAAGCTCGCAATTGTTGGACCAGAAGCCACCCACAAACTCGCCATCGAAGCTGCTCCCGTCCACATCCCTGTAGTTGTGTTGTGGTGAAGCTGTCCCTGAGCAGAGCTTATGTTCTCTAGACTACTGAAGAGGAGAAACATTTAGAGAGAGTGAGATAGAAAGAACAAGAGAGAAACAGTTGGATATATTGTGGCGTGCAGAAATTGGGTACTTGCATTTATAGGCAAATGAAGAAGACCAAAGTGGTGGACTGTGGCCTACCCTTAAGCTCCAAGTATCCTTGAGTAAGAAATTTCTGGCTGGGGCCCAATCAACGAAGACTCCCTCCCAGTTTGACGATCATCAGGTATTATCATTTTTTTTTCTTTCTTAATCTATTGAGTTGTTTATTAGTAATGACTAAGCAGGCAATAGGGCGTGGAATTGGACGCACTTTTAAGGAAAGGAAGCGTCCTGTAGGATTTGGATTCCTCAAAATGGCTTTTACATTTGATTTCAGGCCACAAGCTAGAAAACGACACATTTGTTAGAGCGATAGGAAGGGAAATTGAATTGTTTAACTCAAAAAGGCAGAATGATAATTATAGATTATTCAGAAAAGATATTATAATGGGAGGAGTCTGAGTCAGCAGCAAATGAGTGTTGGAGTTGGGTTGGATTATTGGAGCTGGTGGTTGAAAGTGACGTAGTAATGAACGTACACGATGACGTCGAGTTGATATGAAATTGGCGGTGCATGAACACTGGTGCGCATAGAGCTGGGTCACGAAGACTTTCGAAAAAAGTTGCCGGAGACGGTGGTTGTGGGGTTAAAAAAATGCTGCTTTTCTAGGATTACGATACAAGACAGATAAGGGTTCTGACATTGCAGAGAAAAGAGCCCTTTTTACTGTGTTTTTTCCCCTTTTTCTCTGGGGTGTGGGGGTAGGGAAGAATTGCATAAGAAATTGCCTTGAACTTTCTGCATTCCACAGAGATCAAACTTTTTTGGTCTTAAATGGCAGCAGCCATCGTTGACTACTTTTGGAAACCAGGTTGGTTTGTGTGTGAAATCTGGCATTGAACTAAACATATTGGGTCAGATGATGACTTTCTTTTAATCGTTTTTTCTTTTTCTGTGTTGTGGCAGTGATATGAGAAGCGATTGATTGATACAGAGATTAGGACTTATGAGGAGCTCATTAGTCATTTCTAGGTAACCTTTCTAATACTTTTGATTCTCTTTTTCATTCTGTTTTGATTTTTCTTGGAGGAAAGTTATGAAAAATGCTAAAGATTTTTGGTGTAGTCCGACGTTCGCTAATCGAGAGAAAAACCATGTGTTTATATAAATAAGGAACACATCTCCACTGACATAAAGCCATTTGAGAAAATCAAAAGTATGATAGAGCAGAGAATATAGGGAATGTTCTTCATTTTTAAAATAATTTCTCTATAATTAAATCCGACCGCTTGGGACAAAACTGGTTTTTTTGTGTGTTTATTTTAACATTTTCTTATAGTATAATTTGGGGTATGCAATTAACCCAAATAAAAAGATAAAATAAAGCCAGGCCCAGTAATGACTGATATAGGCTAGTAGCAGGCCCAGTAGTGACTGATATAGGCTAGTAGCAGGCCCAGTAGTGACTGATATAGGCTAGTAGCAGGCCCATCATGGCCCAAGTTTATCAGGATTTGGAACTTTTTTTTTTTAATTTTTTGAAGGGCTAGGGATATACTCAAGGGTATTCCTGGAACAAAAAAGTATCTAACATCCTCTTTAAAATTTTGCTAGCTATTTTTTCAAATCCTTCTGTTTTTTTTTTTTTTTTTTTCGATTCAAATCTTTTCCTCCGAAGTTAGAGATGTCCATTTAATCCAATTTTGAATATTGAATAGGACGAGAGATCTTTAGAATTATGGTAGGAGTGGAGAGAGATTTCTCTATTAAACGGGCTCAGGAATGAAGATTTTATTTCTTGTATCCGACCCACCTCACTCTTATATATATATACCAAAATAACTAACTTATTATATATTTGTTTATGTTGTATTACTGGATTTATTAGATGAAATGGTGTTATTGTATTAAACACACTCGTCTTTACTTAACCATGGAATTGGTTTGTTCAAATTTCAACGACTTTTATTTTTAAAATTCAAAATTTCAAAATTTTACTTTAATATGAGACAACGGTTAGTATTTTCTTTATAAAAAAAAAAGAAAAAAAAAGTCTGGTCTAAGAGACAAAAAGCAGAAATGAATGATCGGTCAAACACGTCAGTCATCTAACGAACGTCACAGACCTCTCCTCGACGTCCACGTCAGGTGCACGTTAGAACTCAGCACAAAAATTTCACTATTCACTCGCACATACACAAGTCCCCATCAAAGGAATCCCTCATTTCTGACCCAAAAATGGCATCCCACCTCTCAAAAAGCACAAATCCCCATAGTCTTCATCAACCATTTCCCCTTCTCCCACCCTTTTCCATTTCCCTTACAGGCCTCCCATGGCTAAACCCACCAACCAGCTGCGCATTTTAGCACCTCCTGACCCTGATTCTCCTCCCCTTAAACCCCCTTTCAGAGCTCCTCCCTCTGCTTCCATGGCTAACAATCACTCCACTCCTGCAAAACTTGATTCCGCCATAGCTGCTGCTGCTCCTCCTCCTCCAAATCCCTCTCCTTTGTCCAACCACATCCCATTTTCCAAACTCCACAGACAATCTGATTTTTCGTCTCAAAAACCAAAGAATCCTAACCCACCTCCACCTTTGACCGTTTCTACTATGGTCAAATCAAAACCCCACCTCCAGAAAATTGCTTCTGGTGGGGATGAGAAATTGAGTAAGCTGTGTAAAGAGATGGGCACTAAGAAGTTTTTTGATGAGAAGAAGGAAGCTAATAAAGGGGTTAATGATGATAGTAAAGCTCTCTATCTCGTGGTGAAGGAGAAGGAGAAGGAATTAAAAGAGCCTCAGAAGGGGCATGGTCTTCACACTTTGAGACCAACAGTTTCTTTACTTCGAAAGGATGGGAGAAGAAGGTCCCTTGCTGATCCCCAAGTTGAATTGGCTGATATCCTTGCAAAAAATGGCGTCAAAGTAGTCTCAGTCGACATGCCTCCGGCTATGCAGATCCATGCTGTGGATTGTGCAAGAAAGGCTCATGATAGCATGGAGAAATTCACTTCCAAAACTCTTGCTTTATCGCTCAAGAGGGTAATTAGCTTAACAGTAATGTACAATCTGGAAACTTTTAGAATGAATTAGCTAATAACTTTTCTTGCTTGCTTGTGAATTTCCAGGAATTTGATAGCGTGTATGGTCCGGCCTGGCACTGCATCGTGGGGAAAAGTTTTGGGTCTTTTGTGACTCATTCAGTCGGTGGTTTCCTATATTTCTCAATGGACCAAAAGCTGTATATTCTATTGTTCAAAACTTCAGTACAAAGAGCTGATTGAAATTGAAGTAGATGTCCAAAACAGAGCTGGGAAATCCATTAAATTTGGCATAGTAGAGTTTAAGAAAGGTAAAAGAGACCGTCCATCCGAATACTTGTACATTGATTATGATGAAGCAACACACCAACAATACAAAATATTCAGTCATTGAGGTTGAGTGATAGAATAACTTCCAATCTGTTCTCTGGAGATCTCTTACAAGCTGTTTACTGAACAATTTTTATTGCAGTTCTTAAGGTTGAATGATAGAATAACCCTTTTGTTACAGCTCCAAGACCCAATTCTTTACATATTCTTCTCTCTATTCTCTACAAATATTGCAGACAATCATTTCAATGAATGAAAACATGTTCATATGCATGCCAGCGATCTTCTTCTAATCTTTTTTTCACTCAAATGGTCTGTGATTCATCATTAGCGAAGGATAAACTACAAGATTAAGACTAAATTATGCATTTTTGTTTCTTGAGCTGAGATGGGGTTATTGTAGAGCATTCACTCACTTCACCGCCTGATTTTGTACAATTGGACAGGATCAGGGGAGAGCTCTTTACCCCACCCCACCCTCTTTTTTCGTTCTTCTAACTTTCTATGTTATAAAGTCTCTTTCTTGAGCCAGTCGTATGAGTAATTACCTAGCTGAAAAGGATGGTAGGTAGGCCCACAGCCTTTATGTTTGATATTGGATGTACATTCCTCTTTGACCAATACATGTGCGTTCTCATTCATAGCCTCCTTATTTAGAAGATTGAACGATTGATTTTGGCTCCTTCTGGAAGTTGGAAAAGTTATGCGTTAGGTGGTTTGCATTGGGACCCTTGGGGGTCGGTTGTGTGTCCCTACTACTCAATATTTGGTTCAAAATGTGATGGCCAAGAACAAAAAATGACTAGTTGAATTCCTTCTTGCTAGATTAGATCAATAAATGACAAAGAAAAAGATATCTCTTTGCGTTTAAAAAGGACTGGCGTCTTCCCTCTCCAAGTTTTGAAGTAGTATATGGGATGAAACCAATCAAAATTCCTTGCATATTGCTGTCATTTTAGTAAACTCGAAAAGACATTTAAGGGGGAGGGGATGATTATGACTTTAAAGAACTCTTCTTGCATCATACAACGCTAACGTTTGTCTCGTTGTAAATGGGATGGAAGCCCGAACGCCTTGCCTTTTCTGATTTTCCCTTGAGTGATTTTCCCTTGAGGTTCTATCATTAGTCCAACTATGCCCTCAAAAAGAAGGAATATTGGCCTTTTTTCTTTCCCTTGTTCTGTGGCTTTTGATGTGTAAATCCAAAAGCACTTTCTTGAACACCATTTCCACTCTGCTGATGAATAGTAAAGTAATAGAAAAGAAAAAGGAAAGCCTTCTACACCCATCGCTGGCAGCCGAATATGGTTTTTAGCTCTGCATCTGCAATTTCATAAATCAAACGTCATTGTACCCTGAGTTTGTTGGGGTGAAGCTTCTAAAGCAATAGAGAAAGCAACTGAAGAAGAAATGGGAAAGAGGTGTCTTACTGCTATGGAAGAAGTTAGCAGCTGCTGAGCTTCAAGGAGCTTTATATCTATATTCAGCGCGTCATACAACACTATGTACATCCTAGAAATAAAACAAACTGCAAGGAAAGAAAACACCCACCTAAAAATCAAACTCTCTATGCTTCAATGCTGACTATAGTTACTGAGTAATTTACCAATATGGGAAGTTAAGAATCACTGTTATTCTGGTCGACAAGGTTTTGAGGTTTCCCTAAATTGTGAGAAGTCTCAGCTAAAGATACTTTTCCTTCATGCTTGGAGATTTCGTTGTCTGCTTTGAGTACTCTCATGATCTTGAACTCGTTAAGATGAGAGAGCTTTCGGGTCAGAGCTCTTCCTTTTCCTGCCATATTCGAAATGGAAATCAATATTCTTTGATAAAGTTTCATGTCCATTATTGATATAACACAATACCTGTAACTTCATCTACTCGGTTGACACTGGCAGATCTTGGTTGCAGGGACGAAGCTAGATCCTCTGAGGATAAGGAGTTAATGTTCTTCTTTGACCTTTTCAAGCGGCCTAAAAGATATGTTTTTTCTCCTTTAAAGTTTGTCAGTGGTTCATTTTGGTCTTCTCCTTCAGCCTTCCCTCGGGAGAATGCCAAGGCTACCCCATGATTGTTTGTACTTACTTCTTTGCTATCTTCTCCTTCAGCCTTCCCCTGGGAGAATGGCAGAGCTACCCCATGATTGTTTGTACGTACTTCTTTGCTATCTTCTCCTTCAGCCTTCCCCTGGGAGAATGGCAGAGCTACCCCATGATTGTTTGTACGTACTTCTTTGCTATCTTCTCCTTCAGCCTTCCCTTGGGAGAATGGCAGGGCTACCCCATGATTGTTTGTACTTACTTCTTTGCTATCTTCTCCTTCAGCCTTCCCTTGGGAGAATGGCAGGGCTACCCCATGCTTGTTTGTACTTTCTTCTTTGCTATCTTCTCCTTCAGCCTTCCCTTTGGATGGCAAGGCTACCCCATGATTGTTTGTACTTTCTTCTTTGCTATCTTCTCCTTCAGCCTTCCCTTGGGATGGCAAGGCTACCCCATGATTGTCTGTACTTTCTTCTTTGCTATCTTCTCCTTCAGCCTTCCCTTGGGAGAATGGCAGGGCCACCCCATGATTGATTGTACTTTCTTCTTTGCTATCTTCTCCTTCAGCCTCCCCTTGGGAGAATGTCAGGGCTACCCCATGATTGTTTGTACCTTCTTCTTTGCTATCTTCTCCTTGGACCGCATGATTGTTTGTACTTTCTTCTTTGCTATCTTCTCCTTCAGCCTTCCCTTGGGAGAATGGCAGGGTTACGCCATGATTGTTTATACTTTTTTCTTTGCTATCTTCTCCTTCAGACTTCCCTTGGGAGAATGGCAGGGCTACCTCATGATTGTTTGTACTTTCTTCTTTGCTATCTTCTCCTTCAGCCTCCCCTTGGGAGAATGGCAAGGCTACCCCATGATTGTTTGTACTGTCTTCTTTGCTATCTTCTCCTTCAGCCTTCCCTTGGGAGAATGGCAAGGCTACCCCATGATTGTTTGTACTGTCTTCTTTGCTATCTTCTCCTTCAGCCTTCCCTTGGGAGAATGGCAAGGCTACCCCATGATTGTTTGTACTTTCTTCTTTGCTATTTTCTCTTTCAATTTTCAACCCGGAGGGTATAATCGTCCTGTCAAAATTCTTAAAATTTTCCTTCTCTCTTCCATTGAGACTAAAAGGTGTATTACATTCAGATTTCTCATCAGAAGATAAATAGACTTGTGACTTGAATTCTTGGTAATCTTCATCAGACATCTCTCCTTCAGACATCTGAAGACAACCTTCCTCAAGGTATCCATATTTTTCTCTGTAAGCTTCAAGTTCAACCTCCAAGTCCCTGATTTCTTCCTCTCTCTTAGCAAGCAAATCGTTTGTAGCTTGTAAGGCTTCCTGGTCATACTCTTCCTGTTCTTCCATCATTCTTTGGTACTGCAAAGCTTCCATCTGAACGGCCGCCTTTTCGGCTTGTAAGCGAGTAATCATGGCCATTGCATTGTTTGCTGCCACGGCTGAAGCGCTTCTTTCTTCGTCCAGTTCCATGTATAACTCCATGAGCGATTTTCGATCTATCCGAACTTGTCTTTTCAAGCAATTCAAAATGGAATCATTGTCTCCTGGCCCCAACATATCTGCTTCATAATTCTCAGCTGGGAGCTCTGGTCTTTCAAGTGGTGATTTTCTAGAGATCCTAATAGCCCATCTGGGACTGGTATTATCAGAATCCGTAAGTGGGATACCAAAAAATTTGTTTCCTCTACCAAAGATGGGGGTCCTCGAACTTTCATGCACATCCTCAGGTTCAGGTAACAATGGCACTTTAACAGGTTTCACATCCTCCTTAACTGCACTTCCATCAAATCCAGGTACAAAAATTATTCGCAAACAAAACAAACCAAATAAAAGGATGCTGCAGAGAAAGAAATAAAGAAAGGACGGGTCAATTCAATAAATTTTGGACTTACATTGATGAGCGTCAAGATTTCTTCCATGTAAACCTTCATCGTCTTCGACGAACTCCGACTCACTATCTGACAACAATTTGAGTTCGGTATAATTAACGTGCGGTAATTCCAAGCTAGTTTTGTCCTCGTTTCTGAAAGCAGGCACAAACCCAGCTCGTGGCGAAGGAGCAGGAGCTTGTGAAAAGGTACTCCCATTTTTCCCTTTTGAATTGGAGGATTTAACCTTCAATGATTCCCCACAACATGAACAACAACAATCATCACCACCACCACCCACTTTCTCCATTTGCAGGCCTTCATCTTTCTTCCCCACGGGCGGCAAGCTCACAACTTGACAATTATCGTCCTCCACAAAACATTCAAGATCCTTGTGCAATATTCCAACGAGCGACTTGTAGGTATTGCAATCGGATTCCTTCTCGGTTGCGAATGAGAGAAGACAGACCTCACACATCTTCCGAATGTCAGAGAGTTTCTTGTGGTTGTGGCAATATGCAAGAGATGAAACATCCTTCTTGTGGCTTTCACAAATGGCATTGTTGTAGTAGAAATCTGCATTTTTGTTAACAAAAACATGGTCGATTCTGGTGCAGAACAAACAAGGAACTCGCAATTCAAAGAACTTGGCGAATTCGCTTGCCAAAAATGCAACAAACCCATCAATGAAAAGCAAAATTATGAGAACCCATTCAAGGACTGCACAAACTACGAAATGTGGGAACTTTCCCATCTCCTGTTCTACAAAACGGGTGAAAGAACGTTTCGTCGCCATTGTTCCTTTATTTCTTTTTTCCCTAACTTTCTCTTGCAAAAGAATAAAAAATTAAAAAATCTAACCCAACCCCCTGTTTTGGATTTCAAAATCCTGTCTGTAATTGTTCTATGAAGATGAAAAGATCATGACCTTGGTGGGATGGACCAGACCTAGATCATGACCTTTTTTTTCCTTGTTTTCTTTCTTCTTTTTTTTTCCTTCCCCTCTCCTCTTTCTACTCTCTCTCTATTTCTCTCTCTGTTTTTCTTTTGGGGGAGTGTCTGTGTTCCCAGAGAGAGGCGACAAACCAAGAGGTTATGAGCTAAGTTAGGGGGTTGAGCCTTCTTAGGATTTATATTTGCGACATTTTAGGAGGCAATTCAGGTTGTCTTTGATGACCAATTACCTGAAATAACAACGGTCATTCCTCCCCTTCCCAACCAAGGGGGAACATCATAGCATCTCAATTTGCTCCAATTTACAATTTTGACCATTTTCCCATTTGCCTCTCCTCTGTTTTCATATGGGAGTTTTAAACTTTGAATAAGATTGTATATCTAATATATCCTTCCAAACATGACATGTATACTATGGCTTATTAAACTTCATTAAAAATTAATCATGGTAGATAGTGTAATTCTTGTACTAAAAAAAAATAAGAAGTAAGGACACGTATCTCGTATTCTAATTCTTGTTTATAAAATTATTTATTTTAAAATGTAACGTCCCAAATTCTAGCAAATATTGTCCTCTTTGGACTTTTCCATTCGGATTCTCCTCAAAACTTTAAAATGCGCTAGGGGAAGGTTTCCCCACCCTCATAAATGGTGGTTTGTTCTCTTCTCCAACTAACGTGGGATATCACATAAAAAAAATTGAGAGAAAAAAAATCATCACCGGGCCGGAGAGGGATACCGTCGATGAGATGGGTGCTATGAGGGAGAGATTTGAGAGTGCGTTGGACGGCTCCGGTGAATATGAGATCGTTTAGAGGGCCTGCGACACAACGTTGGGAGTTACCATTAAAGATTTATTACCCAAAAAATAAAAAATACAAAGAAATTAATAAATATAAATATATATGAACCTAATTAAACGTACGCAAAAAACGTTTTCACACCAAATTCCCAAATTGGAATAGTTTATCATAAAATGTTTGGTAGGACGGATAGAAGAAATAACCACATGCCACGTGGCACTAAAGCCCTACCAAAATAAAATAAAATAAATTGCAAAAATATCTGAGTCTGCGTCTCCCATGGATTCTTCGTTCTTCCTCCTCCCTCCACACACAGATTACGTAGTCCCCAACAAGTGATAAAGGGATCTATTCACTTGCAAAAAAGTTGTAAATTATTCTTTGAAATTTTGAACATGGAATCCTTCTTAACTAGCCTAATCAAGATTAAACTAATTTCACTGATCTCTCTCTTTGTTAAAGCAAGGAACCTCAAGAACAGTGCTTCAAATATTATAAATACACCACAATTTCCTCTCGGTTTCTTCATTCCAATCGACATTTCCTCTTTTGCAGGGAATAATAGAGACAGAGAAAGAAAATTATCAATTACCGGAGTTATGATCGGTAAAGAGAGGAGATCGAGTGAATCGCTTTGTGAGAAGTCCATGTTGTTGCTTGCGAATTTAATCAAGCTTTCGAGCTCGATTTCTTTCGCAAATACGGCGAATGAAGCAACCGCCGGAACTTCGGCGACGAGAGAGCGATCTGGCGGAAATTCAGCGGCGACGCCTCTGATTCCGGGAAGTAGACGGCTGCAGGAGCCGCAGAGCCGAGCGAAACCGATCTACGTGACGAAGCCGGGCGGAGGCAGCTTCCAAATCAGCCATGGATCGCCAAGGTATTCGCCTTCTTCTTCTTCTTCTTCTTCGAATGTGATTCCCGGAGAGAGCGATTGTGATGAGGCGAATGTCGATGGTTGGGCCTCCAAGTACATAGAGAGAGTTCATAGGAACAGGAAGGATTTTGATCAATATCCGACGAACGAGAAGCCGTATTCAATGGGTAAAAATCGCCTTCGTACAGCCACTAGCTACGGTTTGGCCAGAATAAACCCCTAGGGTCTTGTGAATTTAATCAATGTTTTCTAATTACTATCTCAGTATCATCTGTACTGTTACTTCGGCCCATCATGTCATCTAAACATAATTCAACTAATTAAAATATATAATCTCAACCAAGATATATGTTTAAATCTTCAACCTAAAATATTTAAATCATGACCTTTGGTCTTTAAAGTGGTAATACATATCACCTTGAATCCCGATGATCTAAATAGCTCTATGCAATCATATGTATCTCTATTAAACTAAAGAACATGAAGTCCCAAAAGAGATACTAGACTTTCAAGAGTTGTCTGAGTTTGAAGCAACAATGACAACGGTATCCCTTTTGGTTGAGAATCTTTAGTATCAAAACAGCTAGATAGCAATTCAAGAAACGTATACTATCAATCTTAATTAATCAATCTATAAAAAGTCTTCAAATTAATGCACATGAGAATTAGATCTGATATTTATTATTATTATGTAAAATGGTATCATTTTATGAAGAAAAAAAATAAAAATAAAAAAACACCTGCCAAAGTTGAAATAGAATAGATGGATATGTTCGTTTGAAAAAAAGAAGTCATAATGGATGGAAATAATGTAATCCGGATCTTGAAGTGGACCCGACCCAATCCCTTACGGTCCCCCTTCAACCACAATAGAGGATCAAATGCTATCTTCAAGCACAAGACAACAGTCACCAACCTAATCTAATCAAACATGGATAGAAAATTGAGGAAACTTCATATCTTTCTCTTACTCAAACCCAAATACAGGAAGCCTACACATACATAGATACCGAAGAAACCGAGTCGTCTTAGTCTTAGTCTTAGTCTTAGTCTTAGTCTTGGTCTTAGTCTTATCATTAAGCAGCAGTGAGCTGAGACTGCTTGTTAGGTTCAGTTATACAAACAAACGTCAAATGAAGAATCCAAAGGTGGGGATGTACAACTACAACAAACAACTTTAGTTAGTCGCCTATCGCTTTGCCTTCCTCATCAATACAACATACCATTCAAGCCAACAAAGTGATTCTAAGCAACACTGATAATGTTATCCCCGCTGCTCATACTTGAAATTCCTTGGAAAGCAGGGTGTTTCGTCAATGAAGTGGCCGAGTCGAGGTTAAGAGAAAGAGCTCCAGAATTCAAGTTAAGCTCAGGTGTGGTTGGATTGAGCGGCATAACTTCAGCAGTTGATGATGTATCATTCTCCAGGTTATCATGCCTGAGTGGGAGGTTGTCCATAGGAATTGGTACAGGTAAAATTGCAGGGCAAACAGGCAAAGGAAAAGTTGGCATCACAGGATGATATCCATTTACATTGCCAGTTTCAGGTGGTGGAGGTGGAGGTGGCAACAAGTATTGGAATTGGGAGGAATTGTCTTGAAGTTGAATTTGCTCTTCCCCAGCAGCCACCTTTACCTAATGAACCCAGAAAAGGAATTATAAGTAAAGATAGATTCCGGCTTCCAATTATTGAAGTATTCTATTACTAGATCGCCAAAACTATTCATCATATCGTCTTGTTGGGTTTTGCCTATCCCTTTGCAGCAAGAAATTGGAGGTTTTCTGTTTTTAAGGTGGGTTAGAACAGGCTAGAACAGAGAAGAAGCAAACTCAGAAAGGGGATAGGTCGTGAAATTTCACTATCTAACACCAGATAAGTAAGCTCATCAACCAGTTGGCTAAAATCCAGTTAGCCTACTCAAATGAATCCACTATTACAACTTAGAATCAAAATTCGGAACCCTATGGTATCAAACAACAGAATGCACAATACTTGAAAGCCAATCCATTCCATCCAACCAAACATAAGCTATAAATTTAGTAAAGATGACAGTTACCGAATCCGTGGTGATATCGAAGAGGCTGGATCTACGGCGGCGACGATTGAGGTTGCTTCGACGCAGGAAGTATTTCTGGGCGTGGCTAGCAACCTGAGTTGGGGTTCGAGTCTTAACAAAATTCCTCGAGATTCCTCTCCAGTCTCCTTTCCCCACTTTCTGCAATCCCTGCAAGAAAAGTTTGTGCTCTTCCTCCGTCCACGGTACTCCTGAAAATCATCCACCAACAGACATCCCCAAAATTAACAACTCCAGATTCGGAATAAATTGAACTAATCTACAAGCTTCCAAGATAAACCAAGTACAAATTCCCAATATTTTAAGTGACAACCCACCGATCATCAAAATTACCCAAAAAAATCAATCCGAGAGAATGTCAGTCATTTACGGAACTACTCAGACGCATGCTTCTCTCTATAAATCGTATCTCAAAATCACTCAATAAGCACCATCGTCATACCGATATCACGATTACACAGAGTAAAGAAAAGACAAGAAAAACAGAGAATCTAACCTCGCTTGCGTTCGCGCTCGCGAATCCCACCGGAATTAGGAACGGCATCGTCCGCAGAAGCGTAACCAGCAGCTGCAGAGACATTACTCTTAGTGTTGCGGCCGTTGTCTTCATTGGAGGCCTCAGAAGGAGGATGCTCATACTGAGAGAGGTTGTTCATACTGACGCTCTTCCTCATCGGATCCACCACGACTCTCACTCCAAACAACATGATCTCCTTGGTGACGCCGGCGGCATCCATCTCGACGTCTCCGGCCTCCGTCATCGGCATCAAATCCGTACAATGTTGAGAAGAAAAAGGGCGAAAAGAACAAAACCCACCGAAATTTAACCACAGTATCAAAGACGAGTGGTGCGGTGAAGATTTTGGTTCTGTCTATATATAATGCGGCGATGACAATCATGGGGTGGCTATGAGAGTGAGTGAGTAAATGCAATACGTGGCATCCTATGGTTGGCTGTTCAATTTTTTAAATTTTTTTGCGCATTTTCCTGTTGTCTCCATTTTTTCTATTTCTTTTTTATTTATTAAAATGATATTTATATTCTCTTTTAAAAAAATAAAATTAGAATAATCATTAAAAAAAATATTTATTTTTTTATTTTTTAAAAACAATATAACTAATATAAAAAAGTGAATAAAAAAAATACACGCCATAAATAAATTAAATTAAAAAAAGAGATTATTTGCAAACATAAGATTATTATTAATCCACGTCGACATTGAAGTTTTATATTTAACATAGCATTAAATGAGTTTTGGGTCCTTTTTCATCAGTTTTTTTACACCAAGTTGATCTCATCATATTTTCAATTAATATAGAATCAATATTTAAGTAATTATATAATAACTTCACTATATTAAATTTATAAAAGAATACACTATTTTTATTTATTCAAAATTAGTCAAATAAGATGATAAATAGGAAATTGGAATTTTACAATTTATTTAATGATATTAGAATTTATTATTATTATTTTTTATTTTTTATGAATATAGATATTTGTTTTAAGTAAATGTGTATAGATAAAATCCACCAAGTCCACCCACCACGGCGAGCCGCAAGAAAATGGGTTCGGAAAAGGGCAACAAAAGCAAGCTTTTTGTACAAATTTAAATATGAACCGTTGGCTAAGAATATTCCTTTTTTTTTTTTTTTTTTTTTTTTTTTTTTTTTTTTTTTTTTTTTTTTTTTTTTTTTTT